CCGCGGGGTGGAGTGGGCCAGCCATGAACGGCGATGCCCTGTGCCAGGAGCCCTCCTCCCAGCTCCCTGACTGGAGGGAGTTCTGCGAGCTGCATGCCCAGGCGGCCGCCGTCGACTTCGCCCAGAAGTTCTGCCAGTTCCTGAAGGAGAATCCCCACTACGACACCCCTGGTGCAGAGACCTCCTTCTCCCACCATTTCGCCGCCAACTTCTTGGACATCTTCAGCCTGGAGGTCAGCCGGGTGTTTGTGTCCGACTCCCCCACCAAGTACAACATTGTGCCCTTCGTGGGGCTGCAGAACTGCCACGTCCCCTACGGGCGTGAGGTCACCCCGAGGAAGGAGGAGACGTCTACCGAGTCCCTGGACAGCATGGACACCCCGTTGGGTGCTGGACGGTACCTGAGCCCCGCGCAGCAGGCGCAGGCACGCAAGGTGTCCTCCTACGGCCAGTCCCGCAGCTCAGAGGATGTCTCCATCCACGCTGCCACCAAACCCAAGTTCAAGAAAGGCTTCTCCTTGAGGAACATGAGCTTGTGTGTGGTGGATGGTATGAAGGAGATGTGGCATCGCAAGTCCTCTCCAGAGCCAGGCGCCGAGGCTGCCCCGGGCGGCCGGAGAGCTGAGAGGGAGCCATGGTCGGCTGGGGGCAAGGAGCCCGGCGACCCGCGGGAGAAATGGACCCACAAGCTGCGCCTGTCCAAGGTGCCCTCCTCCAAGGTGGAGCTGGTGGACATCCAGAGGGAGGGGACGCTGCGCTACATGGTGGCCGACGACACGAACTGTGTGGGGAGCTCGCAGTGGCAGAAGTGCCGCCTCCTGCTCCGGAAAGCAGTGAAGGTGGAAGGAGAGAGGTTCCTTCTCGAGTTTTATGTCCCTCCAAAGGTAAGTCCTGGCTTTTCTCTGGTTTTGTTTTTCTGAGCAATTCAAGCAGCAGTTTGGCTTTGCTTGAGGTTTTTCTTATTTCCCCTGCTGAGCTGGGATGAAATCCAGCTCTGGTCTGGAGGGAGATTTGGTGCTGTGTGGCTGAGATGCAAATGGACAGGACAATGGGGTTGAAACGCATCCAACCCGCAAGCCTCAATTGCTGCTGTTCACCAGAGCTTAGCCCCCTCCTTCCCACAGCCCTTGGGAGAGATGCTGAAGCCTGTGCCTGGTCCTTTGGCCCTCAAATATCAGCAATCTTGGTGGAAAAGCTCATTCCCCCATCAAGACATGAGGTGTCCAGGCCGTCCAGTGAGTTTTTTCTCTTCCCAACATGTTGAAGAGTGGTTCCCAACATGTGGTTGACTGGTGGTTTGTGCTGCAGCAGTATGGCTGGGATCGCTGCCTGGGCTTTGTACTTTAGATCTCAGAGGGTCACTAGTCCACTTTCTAAAAGCACGTTTGTTTTGGTTTGGTTTTTTCTTTTAAAAAAATAATAATTCATTTGAAATAATTTTGCACCTGCAAGGCCACCCCCCAGTGATGGGGACAGAAGATGCCAGTGATGTCCCCTGGGGCTGGAGCATCACTGCTGTGCGTGGGTTTTGGAACTCTCCTCCCAGACAGCCCCAGCTATGCACCCTCCTGGGCAGAGGAGCACTGATGATTACCCACGATATCACTTTTCCTTGCCTGCAACTGTTCTTCTTCTGTAACTTCAATGACAGCTTCAAAAGCAGGAGCCAATTTTTGTTGCAGTGTGTCCTCGGCGCATCCTTCCTCCCCTCCTCACACACGTCCCCCCAGCATGCGATGCAGGGAAACCGTGTCCCTGTTTTCCTGGGGTAAAAGGCTGAGTGGCGGAGCCGTTTGCTCAAGAAATGTGGGTTACGAGACCTTCAGTCTCCTCCTCGCCACAGGACTGCCTTTGCTCCTGGGCCGAGCGAAGGGATGCGTTGCCCTGCCAAACCCTCGCCTGTGCCAACGCCGTGATTGTGCCTCGTCTGCACGGCGTGTGCTCCTCTCTGAAGAGCACAGGGCAAACAATAAGCCAGACTGAAACTCATGTTTCAGTCCCTTGTAGCAAAGCTGGGCCAACGTGAGCCCTATCACCAGCACGTGCCCAGGGCTGCCGCTCACTTGTTCTCTGAACCCTCCGTAACCCTCAGCTTGGTGGCAGGATGGATCCACACAGAGACAGCAGGATAGTTCATATTTTTAAAAAGCATTTTCTATTTTTCTGAGGTCAAAATGAGCCTTGGCACTGTCGGTGTTAGTCCATGCCTCCTTCCGAACTGTCCCATCTTTCCTGATAACGTATCAAACACGAGTTTAAACTCAAGTGCCTCTCTAGAGAGAGCGGCTCAGCACTGGGACGGATGGTGTGCATCGCTGGTAGCTGGTGCAGGGACTTCCTTAGCCCAGGGACCACACAGGACCCCACTGGAAGGAAACTGCTGTGTCCATGGCGCGATGCACGGAGGATCCGGTGAAGCCGGTGGGTGTGGGCTGCATGGAGCAGCGCTGGCGCATCGGCTGCACCAAAGGGGCAATAAACTCAGTTAAAATGGAACAACTGCTGCTCTTAAAACATTTAAGAGAGCTCTTATAGAGGAATTTTATTTTTTTTTTTAGCACATCTTGACTTGCCTCTCAAAATCAATTTTGAAATTATTTTATGGCAACTTTTATGAACATTGTCTGCTCTTCTGTTATAATCACACCCTGCTTTGGTTTACATCTTTCTCCCCTCATCCCATCTTGCTTTCCATCTGGCAAATGATTCGGCTGTAAAAGTGGCACCAGTCTGGCACAGCTGGAGGAAAACATCTTTTTGCTTCAGCAGCCCACAGATTAGTTTGTCTGCAGGCCCTACAAAAACTGTGGTCTTATCTTTAAAGGGAAGAGCCCTCCCAGAGAAGACCCTTCTCTGGCTCACGGGTGAATTTACACCCTATTTGCTTTCCTTTTGAAGCAGCTGCCTCCTCCTTTCTGACCTTCTCCAGTGCAAACACCAAGATGGAAAATTTCCCCAGGACAGGGCTGAGCCCTGCATAGGCACCCGGGGCTGGCGGAAACGAAACGTCCTGAAGGGGAAAAAGCAGTTCCTGTCTGTCTTGGATTTATTTCTTTTTTTCTCCCCCAAAAAATGGGAACTGATCCCCTTGTTGGTAACCTGCAGCACTCATCGCCGGCCTCGTCCCACCCCATGCACCCAAGGCACCAGGCACAGGTTTCGGTGCCTAAATCGCTGCTTTCAGCAGCCACAATGCTCTGAATCCCAGAGCCCCGGAGGGGAGCCACTCCGCAGGCTCCTTTGGGGGGATTTGTTATAATTAAAACAACGATCTGGGGAATTTGTTGCTCAGCAGAGATTTTGAGTGGGAGGCACTGGGTCCTGGCCCCCCTATCAAGGTTCCAGTGGGTGCTGGGGGCCCTGGGGGAAATTAATTTTTCTTTATTTTGGAGTAATTAAAATTCTCTGCATGGCTAAGGCTGCTGCGTCGGAGCTTCTCGATTGAAATGCCGCTCCTGCGATGGATAAACGGGGCATCTTCCTGAGCTGCTTTCCGCATCGGAAGCGTTCCCCATCAGGTAGCACGTCTCCATCAGGAGAGGGTTTCTAAAGGAGAGAAACAAGTGGTCTTGGCAGAGCTTGGCATGTCAGCCTGTGCTGGAGCAAGGAAGAGGTTTGGCAGTTAAATGCACTAACCTCCCTATCTTCCACCGGGCCTCCTCTTGGTTTAATTAAAAGAGCTTGGAGTTATCAGGCACATGAAGGAAATCAATGCTTTTTTTTCCCCCCGTAATAACTGTGCAGCCTGAGCCGTGATCTTGCCTCTGAGAGCCCCGCTGCATCCTCCCCCGGGAGAGTTTGATTCAATTGAGTGACTTTGTTTTATTTATCGATTTCTTTTAATGCTTGTGTTTTTGTTTGTTTTCCCAGGCTTCCAAACCCAAGGTGAGCATCCCGCTGTCAGCCATCATCGAGGTCCGCACCACCATGCCGTTGGAGATGCCCGACAAAGACAACACCTTCGTCCTCAAGGTGAGAGCAAGGCGGCCGCAGTACGTAGCCCAGCAGGGACCCCATCTGCACCCGCATCCAGGATGCTCAGTCCCTGCGGGGGGATCATTGCTTTGGTTTTTGGAGTTGGGGTGCCGACAGTGCTCCCTGCAGGATCCCTGCCTCTCCTCCCCAGGTTGTGCCCCCCCCCAGCAAAATGATGCAACCTCCACCTGATGCCCAGGTATTTTGGGATTGAGCTGTTTGCCTGGCTTGCACCATGGGGTTTTGTTTCTCCATGTCACCAGGAGACGGGTTAAATTAGTGTCCAGAGACAACCTCCAAGGGGAAACGCTCTTTGGTGTGGCTGCCCATGGTTTTGTGATGGCCGCTGCCCCGGATCAATGGCAAGTGGTGGCCGTTTCATTGACACGGGGCAATGGGAATGGTTGTATGGGGCCACTGAAGCCCTGGGGATCAACCACCCATGTCAGTCTGGAGGCACAAGCAGAGAGTGAAAGTCTCTCTCTCTCTCTCCAGGAAGAGTTTTCCATATCATGCAATTAATTAGCTTAACGCGCTCTCCTGCTTTGCCGAAAGGCAGCAGCCTGTCACAGCAGATCGGGACTGAATCTCACAGGGTCCCAGCTCAGGGTGCCACATGCCGCCGTGATGATGGATGTGTTGTGGGAGACGGTGTTTCTCTCCAGCTAATGAGACTGTGCCTCCTGGCTCGTGCTAATGGACTTGTGCACTCCATCAGAGCTGTTGGACGTGCCCAGCTGGGAGGTAGGACATGTACATGGGGGAACACCAGTGTCTTGAGGATTTCTGTGTCCTACCTCTGCTAAAAATACACCTCTCCTCAATGCTTCTCCTTAAAGTGTGTGGCAAAGGCAGAATGGAGAGGCCAGGCTTCTCAGCTGAATGAACCTGCCTAAAAGCTTAGAAAACTGTGAAAGCAGAGGAGGGGAAGAAATTGAACCTGGCTTCATGAAAGCCCCTGCACCTGGTAGCCCATCTGGCCCCAGTACACGTTCCCGTGGGGAATCGCTCTCCACCAAACTCGGCTCCTTGTAAACATCCCGCACCTTCTCCTGGCCACCTTCTCCAGGGCATCCTCCCTGCCCCAAGGGCTTCTTGCTATTCAACCTCTGCTGCAGCCAGTGTCCACCATGGACATGGAAGCTAATTCAGCTATTGTCTTCTGTGTCTCGAAGACCAACCTCATGTGTCATCCTCTCTGCAGACTGACCAGCCCAAGGTCCTCCTCGCTTTCCTTGCGGGCTCTGGAGAGAGAATGCCCCAAAGCATATGTGGTGCCGTGGCCAGGAGCAGATGGGAAGGATTGTTTCTCCTTCCTTCTTCCTCTTTATCCAGGCCAAGTTGATCCAGTTGCTTTCTTGATGGTGATGTTGACTCATACACAGCTTGTGGGCTGGTGTAACCCCTCGATGCTTTCTGCAGAACTACTCCGGAGTTGCAGTTCCTCAGTCCAGACGCCCACGGTGATCAGTGCGAGCCCAGAGCTCGCCCATGGCCTTGAGCTGGAGGCTGGTTTCGGCTTTTTCTTCCACTGAGCATTTCTCAGCTTTGACAAGTTCATTTGAATTCTCGCCTCATCCTCCAACACACTTGCAACGTGGTGTCATCCATGAATTGATTAGGCATCCTCGCTTTGCTTTTGTCCTAATCAGTACTGAAGAGCAGCACGCACAGAGAGTCCTTGATGTGAAGGAGCACATCCCTCAGCTTTGATCACTAGCCATCGATAACTCGTTAACCATCAATAACTGCTCTTGGAATATGGCTCATCAGCTACTTCTGGTCGTGTTTTCTAGATCCCCTTACAAGTCTCATCTCCACGGTGTCTTGCTGCCCTGCTTGCTGGAGTGTCACATCAGTGTCCGAAGCACGGCCAACGCCAAGGATGTGACACTGCTTCTCCCCGTCCCTGGGGCTGTCACGAGCACGAGCAGATGGGTTTGACAGTGTTTGGTCACGGCAGATCGCTGCTGGGGGGATTCAGCCATGGGGTGCTTTCTGGGTGCCTGGGAAGTGTTGGTTTCTCTGGCTGCTGGAGGAGGGCTCTGGTCTTCCCCTGTTCCCATCTTCTGGAACTAGACATCCTCTCTCCACTCCCACCTCTAACAGCTCTGCAGCTGCTTCAGCCATTTCTTTCATTACCATAGGGAACGCTCCAAACCGTGCTGGTCTGAAAACACCTGACTTACCAGGTACCCTCCACCCTGCTCCTGCCCCGTTCTGGTCAGAGTGCTTACCCTGCCACGGGGTCAACCGATTGCAATCGATCCTTTGAGCCACCCGAGGCAGCGAACGCAGCATCAAGCCCATCTGCTCGCTTCTCCTCTCCCACCACTCCCACCAGCCTTCGCCCTCCCCTCCCGGCTGTCACACAGGATGCTTTTCCCCTCTTCCCAACACCCTTTATTATTTGTAGCTGCATTTTTGCCCCAGCCCTTCTTGCTGGGACATCTTCCTGCTGCTCTTTTGCATTCCCCCTTTGCTGGCTGGACTAGCAGCGGGGGTGAAGCACCCCTCAATGTCAGGGTACAGATTAAAGGGGTAAGAAAGGAAGCAGAGTGCTCTGGTTTCCCCACTGCCTTCCTACGTATGGGGCTGGTGTCAAGCCCTATCTCAACCTTTGCACACAACGTGCCGCATGCTGGCAGGTTATGATGGGTGGAAAAGCCCCTGTCTTGTTCGGGGAGGCCACTCTGGAATAGGTTCTGCCCAATTGTTTAAAAATTAGCAAGCAGTATGTCCCCACTGCCCATCAGACACCAAGTACATGCATTTTTTTCCATTGCACAAGCAGGCACTTGCAAAATACCCAAGCCCTGCACGTGCTTCGCTTGCCGTCATGCTCTGCGTGAGAGAGCAGCCCCGTCTCCCACGCCAGCTTCGTGCATCGCCCTGAGAAAGCCAGAGAGGCTCCTTTGCTCTGGTTAAACAAAATGGGGAGCGGGGGGATCGTTGCTGCTCCCCTCCACCTCTGCTCGGGGCAGGATGGCCTGTGCACAGCCCCAGGCTGCAGCAGGGGAGCGGGTTGCTGCTCAGCCCCAGCCCAGGCGCCCGGCACCGCTCCCTGCACGCCCTGCTTATTTTCAGGACAGTGATTCAGTTGTTTGTGATTAATTTAATTTGCTCGGAGGTTGTCTCGGCTGGCAATGTGATACCCCCCCGGAGTCAGGGCTGCTTCACCAGCTCGGGAACACGATGTGTAAGGGGTCAGCGAGGGATGCGGGGAAACCTGCCAGAAACACGCAGCATCGTGTGGTGTGGCTTCTGAGACCCACGGCTCTGCTGCTGCTGTGGGGCTTCTGGGTCCTCCCTGGCCTCAGAAAGGCTCAGCTCCTTTGGGCTGGCAATTCTGGAGGCTCTTTTGCGTCCTGATTTTTTCACTTTTTTTTTTTTTTTTCTCTTGTTAAAGTGGATTTTTTTTTCCCCACCCTGTGGCAGTCAGAAATCAGAAGCCTCATGGACCAGCAGGCAGAAAAGATAATAGCGGAGAGGTTTTAAACTTCTGGTTTAGGGGTCTGACAGGATTTTGGGGCAGAGAGAAGCATGGCTTCTGCTCTACTTGTGCAGAGCTAGTTTTTGGGGCACACTGAGGCACCCCAGAAGCAAGGGATGCTGTCTATGCCGGTGCGTAGTGCCAGGCACCCCTGGTGCCATCAGCCAGGTGTGGTTTTGCCACAGAGGCTGGAAAAACCTTGTGATACATTTGCTGGTGACGGCGGGGTGGGGGTTTTCCTCCGAGCCCCGGCTTTGGTCAGGGGTCACCCTTGAACACACCAAAGCACCTCTAGGGGTCACCCCTCGGCGCCCCTTTGCTGGGACGAGGTGGGGGGCACTTAACCTCTCCTGCTCAACCGAGGTTGCTGTTTAACAGCAGCGGGGGGCTGGCTGGGTTATGGGGGTGCTTTGCCGTGGGGTGGGTGGCAGGACCCCGGCGCACCCTGACGCTGTCCCACCTTGCCTGCAGGTGGAGAACGGGGCCGAGTACATCCTGGAGACCATCGACTCCCTGCAGAAGCACTCCTGGGTGGCCGATATCCAGGACTGCATCGACCCCGGGTAAGGCTTGCTGGGCAGGAGCCGGGCTCACCCCTGCTGTGCCGCCCTCCCCACCGAGCACGGGTTATTACCCCTGACGCAAGTTTTGCTACTTGGGTTATTACAGAAAGTCCCTGACTCACACCAGCAGAAGTCTGGAGGCAAAGTCAGCAGCTTGTGTGTGTCAGAGGTGCAGCCTTGCAGCGCACTGGCTGCTTGCTCACCCCTTCCTGCTCCACATTGCCTCAGCCTGCCAGAGGCAGGTGGCCTGGGAATGCAGCCCTCAACACTGGAACACCCTAACACCCACCTCTTGAAGTTTTTGTACTATATTTCAGCTGTTTTCCATGTTTTTTTTCCAGTCCAGCATCCGTGGTATATTTAAGATTCTGCTGGCTAAATCATTTTATTTACATTTCTGTCACAGTGGTGTTAACACTGTCATTGGAGTCACAACAGCTCAGCCAAAACTTCTTTTTTCTCCTTCTTTCTTTCATCGGCCCATGCATTGCGTTACCCTGTAGGGAGGTTTGCACACCCCGTGCTGCTGCCCTTCAGCTGGCTGGGACAGCCCTGGTCCTGGGGAGGCAGGATCAGCCCAGGCGCCCCCTGGGCTCCAGGGAAACCCTGGCGCTGCCCTTCTTGGCACAGGTTTGGAAAAACAAGGTGCCCAAGCTTGTAGAGGTGAAAACCGCAAGCAATCCTGGAACAGCAGCTTGGAGAGGCTCCAGCTGCCTCCAGGCTGCCTTTGCCCCCTTCTGCTGGAGAGAGGCAGTTTGGGCACTGCAGGGTCAGTCACCATGGGGGCTGCATCTCTCGGGGGTGGGGGGGGTGCACTAATGCACTCTTGATCCGTTTTCCTTCAGCTCCTTTTGCTGTTTTTCAAAATCTCTAATTCAAGAACTGACGCTGAGGCTGGGCAGCTGACGGAGGCGAGGCTGGGAAACGGCCCTTTTTTCCACTGCATGTTTTGGTGCTGGTTTTCCAGCCAGAGCCTGGCGCTGCGGCCGTGTTTGCCTCAAGCCGCTGCAGAAGCCACCGGCAGCCCCGCCCCAGCTCCGCTGCTGGCAGCCTCCCTTGTATGTTTGCTCAGCACCCAGCGCAGCCGCGCTCTGGCCTCCGGACGTGACTGTAAAGCAAATAATAATGAACTCCAGAGCAAATAATAATGAGCTGTTTAATACACCAACACACACGCTTGGTGCCAAGAATGAATTTTCAATCAGCTCCCGATGCTTTTGCCAAGGGCTGCGCGCTGCAGCCGCCGCGTGAGCGCCCATCGACGGCTTTTCTGCAAAGCACCGTTGGTTTTGGTTTCCTTCCTCCCTTCTTGTTTTTAACCGGCTGCAGCTG